GTGTCTCTGTGACTTTGCAAAGCTGCTTTTTCTTAATTAGAGAGCACAAGAGCTCAGACAAATGGTGGTTTTCTTGTCCTTTCTTCTTTGTGTTCCAGAATACTTCTTTCCCTCTGTAAAACAATTTATGATGTTTGTGAAATTCAGTTTTATCCTACGTCTCCTTTTCCTTCTTTTTTTTCTCTTGTGTTGTCTTGGCCCCAAATAAAACGCAGTTAAAAGTAGTGTGTGTGGTCACTTCCTTGCCACCTCCACCAGAATTCCCTGCTAGCTTACACTAGGATGCTATCTTGTAATTGCCCTTATTTTTCACATCCCACAAACTCTGTGTTAGGTGAGACACTACCATTCAAAGATCCTTTATTTCCAGCCACTCTGCTTCATGCCAGCCCCACCACAATTAATATTCCTTGCTGCGATTAGCATCCTCTGCATATTCCAGCACCTTTTGCTCTCTGAGCATAATTCTTATATAACTCTTGATATGATAAGTCATACTGGCCAGAGTTAACCTTATTACTGGAGATGTACTGAGCAATCTTGCAGTCATGAGATACCAGGGATATTTCAGTAATGGGAAATCTGCTTCCCATACAAGATTGATTTTACTTATGACCTTTAGCTAGAACGATACCTGTACATTCTTATCTGCATTAATTTCTTGTTTTCTCTTGTCACAAGCTGTCAGCATATGTGTATCTTGCAGACATGAAGAACAGCCCATGTAACATTCTCTGTAAGGACTCAGAGTTATGAATATGTTCAACTTTATTGAAGTGTCTGGATTGCTATACTGCACTTAGGACGTAGTGGCTAAGAAAGATACAAATTCTAATATTGACCTTTTTTTTCTTCTAGATTGAGAATTATTTCAGTGGATCTGCCTAATATTCCCTTAATGTGAGGTAGTAAATGATACACGGCCACAGTGCTCCCTTCGCTAAAATCAGGGACTGAAGAAATGAGGTTAAATTTTAAGATAAAAATTAGAGTAATTTCTAACATCACCTTTTCTTGTGACGTGCTTTTAGTGGAGTCTCGATCTCACAGACTATTTGGGATTCTGTTTTCCTCCTCCTGAAGCAGTTTGTTGTTATTGCTGATGAGTTCATCAAACTGTAAAAATGAGTTGCGAATGGAGGTTGGACGTTCCCCTTCAAGATGGATTACAGCTCACAAAGTACCGTATGCTTATTAGAGAAATCAGTGTGGAGGTCCTGTGGCCATTGTTATGCAGGAGGACAGTCCCCTTTGACCTTAAAATCTGTGTGTGTAGAGATGAGAGGACCCTTACTGTGTCTTACAGAATTTTTTTCACCGTTAATTAATTTTGGAGACCTTACATGGAAATCAACTTCCTGGTGCTTCTTTATGTTTGCCATGGACAGTATGTATGTGATACTTCATAAGGCAACTTCTGTTATGGCTGTGTTCCGTTTGCCTTACAAAATCTGTAGGAAAATTACAGAAACACTCTGATGTGTTGCAAAAGACGAGTGCAAAACTTTTATATCAAGCTAAGTAGTACACTGCTTAGAAGGTCAGAGCTGTGGAGCTTGACAAAACTTTTTGAGACTTCACACCTTCATTTTGATGCCAGTCCCCTTTTCCAGAGCAAATCTGGTCAGAGAGCATTCTTTATAATGCATCTGATGGCATTCTCTTGTATCACGGAGAAAACCACTCATCAAGAAGCCCTAAGAAACAATATGGACCTGTTGTACTAAAAATGTTTTCTCACTGAATGAGATTGATAAAAATAAAATTAGAAATATAGAATTATATCAACATCTTCAACATGTCAACGCTGGGTGCTATTCTTGTCTTTGACTTCTCGGTCAGTTCATGTTGCTGCATTTTGAAAGAGATAAAAGAGCAATAAGGAGCAATAAATATTGTTGGAATTTTGGAAAGCTTGTATTTTGTAGGAGTCAAAGTTCCTGTGCTTAGCTCAACAAGAAGGTTGATGTGATCTGTTGTGTGAAATGTATACACTAGAAGAATATGATCAGTTCAACTTCTGTCCCAGTACTCAAACAAGGGAATGATTGCATGGCCATAACACTACTAAAAGCTAAAAGGATTTTGAAAATATATTAGTTCTGAAGTTCCCTGCCACTAGATAGTGAGGCAGAAAAGGAGAAAAATTAAAGACGAGGCCATAGTATGAAGAATATCTGTAGGTATTCTTACCTTCTAGGAAAGAAGGAAATACGTAAGCCCTCTTACTCCAGAATAAAATCACCAAGTATTAGGAATTTCCCCGGTGGGTATCTTATTGCATAACTGTCCATTATAGTTTTTTATATCTACTACTAGATGGACCATTGGTCTGATTTAGTATTGAAACTAGTCTTTCTACCACCATTTTCTCTTAGGAATACTTCCCATCTAAGTCTGTGATGTCATTTGAGTTAATTCATTAATTTTCATTGGCTTCTTCGCTGTTTTAAGCTGGGTGCACTGTCAAACCAATTAAGGTACCTTACAGGATTTGAACCTCATTCTGGATCCTCTCTGAAGGCTGCTTGCCCACTGATCCATCTCAAATGCTTCCTGCTCATTTGGGTTGAGGAGTCAAAGACAACCATGGAGGACACTTGGTTGCTTTGATCACTTCTGCACAGGCAGCTGCAGAACCGTAACTGTGCTTCTTGCCCGATTCAGTCTGGCTTTGACTGTGTTCTGCTGTTTATTTCAGCAGTACTCTGCAAGGAATTCTGCTTTTCTGTTTATCTTTTAATAAATAAGGGGAGAAATTTCAGTATCTCTTTCATTCTCCCATCTGCTTCATTTATTTCCCCTAATTTCTCCAGCCGTACAAAATCCATTTTTCTAACAACTGATTTTCAGAGAATGAATTTCAGATATGTATGGTCTTGGGAAAGCTATTTTGGCCCAGTATGAAAACTTTGTTAATGACACTGCAGTACAAAATATCTTTGCCCTTATGTATTCTGTTGCATTTACTCTTCAAAATGGTGCATTTTATACACCTGCCGTTGACTCAGCATGGGGCAATAGATAATACAGCAAAACAGCAGTGAAAACAAAGTATTGTCTCCTGCTCTAGTAATAAAACTTGTGCCATATTTTGTTCCTAAGTTTGCTAGAAGCAGCTTTATAATTTCATGTTGACAAAACAACAAGAAGGGAAAGTGAAGGTAGAAACTGGGGGAAGGGAGGTGGAAGCTTAAGTGTGGGACTGCAGTAACAGGGTTTATCACAGCCAGAATGGAGTGTGAGTGTGAGAACGCCTTTGCCTGAAATCTGCTTCTTGCATGCCAAAGGATGGATGAATGCTATTTTTGTGTGGCATTTCTAAATGAATGCACAGTGCGGCCCTGTGTGAGTAATGTCAGGTCTCTCGTATGAAATGTCTTATTATCATAAAAAATGAAAATAAAGTATCAGAATTTACTCCTCCCTTAGCTGAGAGTGCCCATCTTAGATATTGCTTATTTCTTTCTGTGTTCCTCCTGGCTGTAGTCTTTCTTCTCTGGAGTATTAGGAAGCACGAGAGTGGCCATGGCCACCAGTGCAAGGTTCTATCAACTTCAGGTCGTCCTCAGTCCCATGAACTCTCAGGTCCTTGAGTGTCCCGACGTATAAACACAGATCCATGGCTTGGGAGCAGTGGAAACCATCTGCTTAAACTCCTCAGAACATGATGAAGGACTCTGTTTTTTTAATAACATGTCAGAGATAAGCTCTCCTACTGTGAATGACGACTAGTCCTGTATGTCCTTCTACCAGGCAGCTTGCACGTGATGTCATGAGAACATTGTGATTTGCAGTGTTGACCCCCAAAAGCATAAATCTTTTTGGTGTCACAGCATAACCGTGAGTAAGGAGCTGAAGGGTAAGGCTCAGGTCACGTAGCCAGGTCATGTAGCCACAGGCTACAAGGAAAGGTCTCACCCCTGGATGCTATTTGCTTACCCAGTTATAGTAAAGCTATAGAAAACACAGGTGCAGGGAGCTGCATACTGAAGCAAAACTCCCATGACAAAATATGATAATTGTTCCTTAAAAGGTTATCCGATTGGTCAGCAAAGAGACAGGGTCCCAGAAGTACCGTCAGAGGGTAATTTCAAAGGGCGTCCAAGAACACAGCACTCTTGGGGCTCCTGTGGTGTTCTTAGCCTGGAGCACAGCTTTCACTCTCAGCCCTGTCTCCCCCTGACCAGCCCCATTAGTGCAGCACAAAGCCTGTCTTGGGTGGAAGAGCTCTGTGCGTTGGGCCGGGATGGGAGCAGCATCCCTGAAACAATGCCTTGGCTTTTCCTGGGCTGTTTTAGTGAATAGAGGAAACTGAAACACTATCAGAAGTGATACAGATCCAAGGAAAATATAAGCACAGACACCGCTGGTTTCAACGTTAGACCTACAGGCAGCCTGAGACCTAAGGTAATATGGGGCCTTCTGCTCAGTATGCCCTCCTTTTCTCCTTCTCCACTCGATATCTTGATCTCAAGCACTTGCAGTTCCTCAGTCTTAAGCTAGTGTTCATGTTCCTGGATTCCTGGAGACCCTAGCTGTATGTTTTCAATGCCATTTAATCACCCTTTTTACTCGCCAGCATTTAAGCAGAAGAAAAGGGGAAAAAAAAGGAAAAACAATACGCAAAGGATTACACTAAGCTATTTTTTTTTTCTACCTCTCTGAATGTTTTAGGTTTTCCTCACAACCCGTTTGCTTAATCACTCCCGCCAGCTTCATTTGGAGCCTACAAGATAATGGTCAGATCCAATTTAACATCTCTGGAAGCCTCTTAGCTTTGTACAGTGACACGGGGAACTCCTCCTCACTTTTACACAGTCAGTTAGAGCCTTCATTTAGTGAAATGTGGGAGAGCTGGTACGGTTTTTTTCTGTCAATGTATGTGTAATTTGCAAAGGTGCAGGACTGTGGCTGCTTGGGTGCTGCAGGCTCTGTCACTCCGTGCTGCGATTAATAGTTTGCTGCTCTCGTTGCAAAATTGTGGCTCTGGGCTTTGTTCTATTTTTATGCTCATCCTATATGCATCTGTTCTCACTTTATTCTGCATCCTGTTGCCAACCTCCTGCTCATCTGTCTTTGCCATCTTTAGACATCTTCCACTATCAGGTTGACACCACTGTGCCATCAAAAGAATTACTTCTGAGTTATGCCAGTAAGTAAAGACTTCAGGCTTTTGTTTTTTCTCTCTCACATGCACCACTCTTTTTTTGCTGGGTACAATTGGACTTTCAATCCAGTATAGGTGTGCACTTGTTGTCAAAACTCCTTGCCATGAAATGCCAAAGTGAAGTCATTAATGTCCATATCACTCTCTTTCTGGGCACCTTTTTATCAAGCACCAACGCAGCATGGATGGAAAGGATGTTCTGAGGAGGAGCAGGTCTGTGCTTTTCCCATTGAGCTGATGTGCATGCTAACAGCACGCTACATGGCTGCACTGTCAAAAGGAAGAAGGTACTTTGTTTGAGGAAGTGCAGTGATGGGTCAACACGATGCAGTGAGATCTGGGTGCTGTCAGCATGTGCTGTGTTCCTGGATTTCTGGATGCAGTGTGGGTCATCACAAGCTACTGCTTGGAAATAGCACAAACATTTTTGGGGCTTTGACTTACTTTCAGAGAGATGTGGGCCGTCAGAAGTCTAGGTCTCATGGAAAGCCAAAGGTGGGCTGGTTAACAGAGTTCCAGATCCTTTCTGAAACCGAATTCAAGATGAATTTTCAAAATCCTGGTGTGCCTTCCCAAGCCATAGCTACTTTTGAAATGTCAATCTTAGATTTATATTATCTGAATAATTATAATGGATTTAGTAGTATCATTTGATTATGCATGTAGACTCATGCTTATAAAATTGTTGATGTAGATAATTGCATGAGAATAAGATAAGAAAAGAGAGATTTCAGTTGTTTGAAGGACCAGACACAGAGGTCCCAGATCTGCAGACCTCTATTTGTGCAGGGATTCTTGACAAGCACTGATAGCCACCCCAGCACGAATGCCTTGTAGAAAGCTTTGGTGAAATAACAAAAATGTTCTACTTACATATGTGTGATAATTCAGTGGCTCTCAGAGACGTGTTTCCTCGTTCCTGGTATGAGTTTATGGTGTGGTCTCACGAAACAAAAGGCAACCAAAGATAAAAAGTGGAAACTCAGGCTGAAGAAGCTTCAATCAGTCATCACTGGATCCACCAAAATTTCCTTAACTCTTGCCATGATCGCAAAAACCACCATCTAAAATTCTGACATTTTCTCTCTAACAGAAAACAAAGGAGGGCCATATGCACGAGAAGGCAGTAGGAAGCCTGAAGCTATTAGTGTGTCATTGTCAAAGGCAGAAAGAAAAAACACAAAAGTTAAAGGATTCTGGAATATAGCAGAAATCTCCAGACATGAGTCAGACACTAAAAATGCCCAAACTCATTTAAAAAGCTCTTTGTCACAGTCCAAAAAAACAACATTTTTAGTGTTTTTCCTTTTACTTTACATCCCGCTATTGCAAGTACATGGCTAATTATGATCTGAATGATATCTATTATTCCTGTGTCCTTCTAGATTGGGCCGGATGTGTTCCAAATATGGCCACAAACATATTACAGTGCGCAGTAAAATCAAAAGAATAAGATAATTCTGTTTTAAGGGTTAATGGTATTCACTCCCACTCAGTTTGACTCACTGGACAAAAGCTCCAGTGTGCCTATTCTCGGCAGCTGTGCTGAACAGTAAAGATTTGGAGTCCTTTGTAGGCTGGAGAAAAATAAAGTCTTTGTAAACTTTTTATTTAGTATATTCTACCAAACACCCATGTGTAACAGTTAAAACATTTGGAGTTGCAACAGGCTAAGGAAAGTTTGCACAGATAAACAGAGTTATTCTAAATTTTGTGCCTACTAAGGTCTGAATCACAAAGTCTCGATGCATTTCATTTAAAATGTATGTGCAAGAAATCATTTTTCTTACCAGGGCCATTGTATTCTCTGGGCTTTGTTTAATCACATTAAAAACGTTAACACAAAATAGCAAAATTATGTATGGTTTGAGTCACCACGTGTCTACAGTATGCTATGAGTGATCATGCTTTAGAAGAACACTGCTTTTGTGCTGCTGTAATTCTCTTTATTTCGTTGATGTTGTTCTTGGTTTGTAGTGATGAAGCCAAGCCAACGCCTCTACACAGTAAGAACATCCAGGCGTATTCTTTCATTATCTGGATATGTCCCTCTGAAACAAAATAAGTGCTTGCATTGTGCTCTCATCCTTTGCGTGCCTCAACGCATCCCTGCACTCTAGACTGAGAAGGCACCAGAGTGCTTCAATCCCAGAACAGCACTGCCGAACCACAGCCATCTGCTTGGTGGGCTCCTCCTTGGGTTTGTTGCCTCTGCCGTGAACTCAAGGCTCTGAGATCCAGGCACCACAGCCATGCTGTCAGGCCAATACAAATGAGCCCTGCTATTTTATTACTCGGACAAGAAGCAGAGAAGGATGAGGAGGACACAGAGAGATGGGAGCAGTGGTGGGAGGCACCCAGCCCAGCACCACCTTTACCTCCCCCTGCAGCTTTGTGGGATGCCCGTGCTCCCAGCGCACATCCGAGGCTGTCAGGCGTTCTGTCAGTCTTTCCATTTCTCTGCCTAGTTACCCACTATTTCACAGCCTGTTTTATGAGGTGTAGCGTTACTTCAGCAGCAAAGTATTGCCATCTCCAGCAGCTCTGTCCGAGTATGGAGTGTTGGCTTCTCCTGCCCAGGGCAGGCTGTGTTTCACAGGGATACTGTCTTTATTTCCCATTTTTTAAAGTGCTCTGTGGACTGAAGGTGTCACAGAGGTGGTGTCCCCAGGAAGGAAAGCAGTGAGGAAATTACCTGTGTTCTGGGCTGATGTCCAAATCCTGAAGTTCTTCCTTCATTTTCAGCCAATAATACTCTCAGGAACTTGGAATTCGTTTCATTAGAACCACCAAAAATTCGTCCAGAATTCACAATTCAGGCCATAACTGAAGTGGGTGTTCAAGCACGTGGGTATGTCCCGTTCAGCTTAAGGCACTTGGGGATAATGTAGATATTTAGTTTTAACTTAAATATTTGCTTAATAGAAGTATGTCGCTGATGCCACAGCCTGTTGTTGTGTCACTGTCTGGGGTATCTCAAGAGCATCAGAAATGAAATGGTGAAACAGCTTAAATCTGAGCTTTTGAAGTAAAGCTGTATTTTAAACCAAAATGTTTGCTAAGTCTTGAAGAAAGAGCCATGTATTTTCCAGAGGGATTGAACATCCCCATGTTACCAAAGACTTTTGTCCTCTCACTCTTGCATGAATCTTGTTTCATCCAGGTATTCCAGTCAATAGTAATGCCATTCTTCACTGCATTTATTAAGAGCACAAAATAATGAAGGCAGTTACTTAACACTTTAAAAGCATATGTAATGTTATTCGAGTTGCAATTATTTCAGATGAAGGGTTGTGCTTCTCTTAAACTGATTTTGATGTACAGATTTGCCCAACAATTTGAAAGCTGCAGACACTTTAGCATTCATGACACTATTATTCACTGCCATAAATCTAGATCAGATATATGCTGTCTGAATTGATAGTGGGTATTCAGTCTGAGAAAAATGTGTTCCCCTTTAACTTTTAGCAGTGACATTGCTTATGTTACATCACTTTTCATGTTACTGTGCATCATATTGGTCAAAGATGTCATTATTTATAGCACAGAGATTGTGTCACTATAATTAAGGTTGCGTTAGGGCTTATATTACCTTATAAAAACTCTATTGTCAGGAGCCTGTGACTCCATAATCAAATTCATTTTTGTTCAAATTCCAGATTTGGCTCAAGAGGCTGTAGCTCTTCTACAGCAATGGATCTTTTTGGTTTTTTCATTCGACTGTCTTACTATGGGCATCTGTGGAAAGTTCTTTCTAAAGAATGGCACACAAACACTATAAGGAAGTCTGCAGACATAGACTTAGCTGGTGTCAGTCAATACAACTTCCCTGAACTGCTCAGAACCACTCAGATACATACAAAGAGGGGTGGATTTGTTTTGTTTTTGTTTTCATGTTTGTAAACACAAAGATGGAGACACAGGATGTAACTACAGCTTACTGAGAGCAGTCCTCAAGTTTGGAATGGTTCCTCTCAAAATGGACATCCTTAGAATCATAAATGTGTTGACTAAAAAGCTCAGGTATTTTCTTTATGGACTGAGTGCAGAGCCAATGTTTGAGTAATCCCTTTTATTGGACTAAATGTACCTATTGACAAAGCAGCTTTCTGGGTATAGGAATCCATTCCTTAGAGTCAACCCCTTCCTGACCTGCAAGGGAATTTTGTGTATCCCTAAAGAACGGCTGTCAATATTGCTGCATTAGTCCAATAAAAGGGATTACTTCAAACTTGACTCTAAATTTTGTCTCACTAGTAAAGGCAAGTAATTAAAAATATTGAGTTGTGTAATGAGACACACTGTGTATCGTGATGCACTAAAAACCATGTCCTTCCAAAACGGTTTGTTATGTTGCTTCCAATGTACACAGTAAATAAAAACAAAAAGTAAACTTCAAATAAGCACCTCAACAACCCACCAATAAACAGCAGCCAATTTCTGATCTCCGTTTTATAAACATGCAGAATGAGCAAATAGAGTCCGACGTCTTTTCTCCTTGACGGAACGGGTTGGTCAGATGACATTTCAACGTGGTTTTTGCAGAACTTTCTGACTCCTGTGCCCAGTGGATTGCTGGTGGGCTGCTCTGAGTGTTGCACCACAGCGCAGGAGTCCTGTCCTGGGTCTGTGCTGAAAGCCATGTGTAAGGAGACCCGACACTGGAGATGCTAGAAGCTGTCCAACTTGGGGAAAGATTTGATCAGGGCTCTTTTACTTAGGCCAATTTCTTCCAAGCCACTATGGAAAAAGCCAGCCTTGTTTCTGCCATTTTTGCTCACAGTAGACAATGCTTCCCCCTCAAATGGAGTCCCAGACAACTTTTGGCTCCTGCTTCATTACGGTTGGCAGTGGTGCAAAGGGAGAGCAGCAGCAGGGATGGCATTGGCATATGAGCTCTCCAGTGCAGTGGATCTATGATTAAAGTAGAAGAAAATGTTTGGATTTGCCATCTTGTTTTATTACATGTGAATTAATCTGTTTTCTTTCCTTTTCCCAGCTTCTTCTTCCAGAAGGAGAGGAAAGCATGCTTTTTTACTAGTTTTATTTCCTTGGGTACTTCAGAATCCTCAGTTATGACAAATTCTGCTCTGCAGTAGCTTTTGGCTTCCTTCTTCTTTGAGCTCTGTAGACCTTTGAACTGCTGCCATTACAGCTGCCTCTGAGCCTGTCACGTGGCTGCTGAATTGAGCTTTTGACTACAGCCCTGCAGCTCCCATTCCTAGCTGTTGTACTTTTAACAGTATCATTGTTTTGAATGAAATAGCACTTCTGTGCCAAAACTGGAGGTTATTTCTCCTCAGCCCATTCTGGGCAGCTGAGCATTCAGCCTGTTGGCTCCTCAGGCCAGGCCAAAGCCCTGTGCTGCATTGGCGCAGGGTTGCGCCCGACTCAATAAACTGGATTTGCATTTGGGCAAAAGTCATCTCGAAGCACTTGGCTGATTCACAGCACAGTCAGGCAGCTTGTCTCTTCCAGGAATGTACACGATGGATATGTTTGAACTGGTGGGATATAATTTAACGGTGATATATCATTATCATTACATAGCACTTCTGTCCCATTAGTGAATCAGACAGAATTTCACTGTGGTAGGCACCGTGTTCACATCCATCAGGGAACCACAATGTTAACAAACCTTCATCTTGCAGACACTTCCACATATTTTTAACTTTTTATATAAAAGCAATCAACTGACTGTGCATCTCAAGCAGATGCATAACTGTTCTATAGAGCTGGAGGTTTAGGGCTCACTGAGGCTGGTCTTTGTTTCCAACACGCATACATATCGGCAGTAAGCTCTGCTCTGAATGAATGCAATGGCAGCATTACCTAGAGCCAAAAAGCACTCGTAAGAGATCATTTGGTTACAAAAGCCTATTTACAAATTTTCTTATTGTTTAGGTAGAGCCCCTGATTGTTGTACCTAGAGCAAATATCTGGGGGAAAAAAGCAAAAATGTGCCTTTAGAGTGATGAGTTAAATACACAGAGACAGTGCTGCAGCCGGCTATCAGCAGGACAAATTTCAGAGGCAGAGCTAGAGGAAACGATTACCGGCTGATGTTTTCTACAAATGCCACTTCAGAGATGAATACAATGGCCCGCTAGATTTTGCTTTTTTATTCTCTTTGGCTTGAGTAGG